CGGAAAGATTAATTTTCCACTTAGGATAAAATCCTAGGGACCTCTTCCTTCCATCAGCAACTCCTACAGTCTCACAAACAAGAGTCCTCTTACAAAACCATAAAAATATCGCTTTAATAAAAGAATACCAGACATTCCAGAAATATCAAAAGGTGCCTTAGCAAACACAAACAATAATATCGTCCTCACAACAAAAGTTCAAGCGAAATCAGTAATATCTAACCGTCAACAAAAGTTCCAGAGGCGTGTAGCACCCAGCAGAGAGCCTCAGCAGACACTGATGTCTCACAGCCTTAGTGTTGACCATGGTAGAGAGGTGTAGCACCCAGCAGACAGTGCTGTCCCTCAGCCTTGGTGCTCACCATGGTAGAGAGGTTTTAGCACCCCGCAGACAGCCTCAGCAGACAGTGGTGTCTCTCAGCCTTGGTGCTCACCATGGTAGAGAGGTGTAGCACCCAGCAGACAGCCTCAGCAGACAGTACTGTCCCTCAGCCTTGGTGTTAACCATGGTAGACAGGTGTAGCACCCCCACCCCCCAGCACAGTGCTGTCCCTCGCCTTTGGGGTCACCATGGTAGAAGGGTGCACCCACGCAGCCTCAGCAACGGCTGTCTCTAAACTTGGTGATGACCATGGTAGAGAGGTGTAGAACCCAGCAGACAGCCTCAGCAGACAGTGCTGTCCCTCAGCCTTGGTGTTACCATGGTAGAGAGGTGTAGCACCCAGCAGACAGCCTCAGCAGACAGTGCTGTCCCTCAGCCTTGGTGTGACCATGGTAGAGAGGTGTAGCACCCAGCAGACAGCCTCAGCAGACAGTGCTGTCTCTCAGCCTTGGTGCACCATGGTAGAGAGGTGTAGCACCCAGCAGACAGCCTCAGCAGACAGTGCTGTCTCTCAGCCTTGGTGATGACCATGGTAGAGAGGTGTAGCACCCAGCAGACAGCCTCAGCAGACAGTGCTGTCCCTCAGCCTTGGTGTTGACCATGGTAGAGAGGTGTAGCACCCAGCAGACAGCCTCAGCAGACAGTGCTGTCCTCGCCTTGGTTTTTGACATGGTAGAAGGGTGTAGCCCCAGCAGGGCGCCTCAGCAGACAGTGCTGTCCCTCAGCCTTGGTGTTGACCATGGTAGACAGGTGTAGCACAGCAGACAGCCTCAGCAGACAGTGCTGTCCCTCAGCCTTGGTGCTTACCATGGTAGAGAGGTGTAGCACCCAGCAGACTGCCTCAGCAGACAGTGCTGTCCCTAAGCCTTGGTGAGACCATGGTAGAGAGGTGTAGCACCCAACAGACAGCCTCAGCAGACAGTACTGTCCCTCAGCCTTGGTGTTGACCATGGTAGAGAGGTGTAGCACCCAGCAGACAGCCTCAGCAGACAGTGCTGTCTCTCAGCCTTGGTGTTGACCATGGTAGAGAGGTGTAGCACCCAGCAGACAGCCTCAGCAGACATGTGTCTCCACTTGGTGGACCATGGTGAGAGGTGTAGCACCCCGCAGACAGCCTTTAGCAGACATGTGTCTCTCAGCTTGGTGTTGACCTGGTTGAGAGGTTTTAGCACCCAGCAGGGCAGCCTCCCGCAGACAGTGCTGTCCCTCAGCCTTGGTGTTCACCATGGTAGAGAGGTGTTAACACCCAGCAGACAGTGCTGTCCCTCAGCCTTGGTGTTGACCATGGTAGAGAGGTGTAGCACCCAGCAGACAGTGCTGTCCCTCAACCTTAGTGTTCACCATGGTAGCGAGGTGTGTAACACCCAGCAGACAGCCTCAGCAGGCAGTGCTATCCCTGAGCCTTGGTGTTACCATGGTAGAGAGGTGTAGCACCCAGCAGACAGTGCTGTCCCTCAGCCTTGGTGTTCACCATGGTAGAGAGGTGTAGCACCCAGCAGACAGCCTCAGCAGGCAGTGCTATCCCTCAGCCTTGGTGTTCACCATGGTAGAGAGGTGTAGCACCCAGCAGACAGTGCTGTCTCTCAGCCTTAGTGTTGACCATGGTAGAGAGGTGTAGCACCCACAGACAGCCTCAGCAGACAGTGATGTCTCTCAGCCTTGGTTTTTCACCATGGTAAGAGGTGTAGCACCCAGCAGACAGCTGCCTTCCCTCAGCCTTGGTGTTACCATGGGAGGAGGTGTGTAACACCCAGCAGACAGCCTCAGCAGACAGTGCTGTCCCTCAGCCTTGGTGTTCACCATGGTAGAGAGTTGTAGCACTCAGCAGACAGTGCTGTCCCTCAGCTTGTGTTGACCATGGTAGAGAGGTGTTGCACCCAGCAGACAGCCTCAGCAGACAGTGCTGTCCCTCAGCCTTGGTGTTGACCATGGTAGAGAGGTGTAGCACCCAGCAGAGTGCCCTGTGTCCTCAGCCTTGGTGTTGACCATGGTAGAGAGGTGTAGCACCCAGCAGACAGCCTCAGCAGACAGTGCTGTCCCTCAGCCTTGGTGTTGACCATGGTAGAGAGGTGTAGCACCCAGCAGACCCCAGGCTGGGGTTCTCAGCCTTGTGTTGACCATGGTAGAGAGGTGTAGCACCCACAGACAGCCTCAGCAGACAGTGCTGTCCCTCAGCCTTGGTGTTCACCATGGTAGAGAGGTGTAGCACCCAAACAGACTAGGGGCCTCCAGCAGACACCTGCCTGTCCCTCAGCCTTGGTGTTCACCATGGTAGAGAGGTGTAGCACCCACAGACAGGCCTCCAGCAGTGTTTAATTTCATTAGCACCCCATCACCTGGAGGCAGGCTTTCAGCCTTGGGGTTCAAGGTCGGTGGACTGGGCCCGCAGCAGTGCTTCCCACCACCCTTTAATTGCACACAACTGAAAGCGACCAGTTTCCTAAATTTTTAAAATTAAGGGTAATACAATACAGATTTTCCCCCACCTTTTTAATTGGGGAAAAATAACCCCAAAAAAAATAAATTTTATTTTTACAAGGGAAGTACACCTTAAAAACAAAGCTCACAGACATTTGTAAAACCCTTTTCTTTTAATTGGTTATTTTGCCCCAGGAGCGCCCCACCAGGTACCTAAGCCCGGTGTAACATGGGATAGAGGTGTCCTTAAGGTAAACATGCCCCCTTGTTTCCACCCGGGAGGATTTCAACAACGGCCTCAGGACAGTGCTACCCCAAGCCGGTGTCCCCTGGTAGGAGGGGTACACTCCACGGGCTTAAACGGTGTCCCACGGGTCACCATGGTTGTAAACCTCGGAAGTGGACAACTGTTGGTAATAAAGTTTACCAAAGTAATCACCTTACGAAGCAGGAGAACTTTGTAACCACACTTACCGGTGCGTTACACCTCTCGTATAATGCTAAACAGGGAAAATGTCCTGCAGCCTTTTACCTTTTAAAGGAAGAGAGTCTTTGTAAAGAACAAAACCTCACAATATCGTGATTGAAACAATACACAAAGGAGAGAGAAACTTACCACGACATTTCGGTCTAACCTGGACCATTTACAAAGTCACAGAGTGACTTTGTAAATGATCCAAAAGGCATGTGTTATGAAGCAAGTGGTACACCACGTGCTTACTCGACAGTAACAATGATAACATCCCAATATATCGTAAATGTTCATTGTGTGCCCATAAAAAACCTGTGCCCCTCACCAACATTGTAAAAATATCGTCGATTTTACAATATATATATTTTTTTCAATATGCCGGCCGTATCCCACCGAGGCAGGGCGGCCCAAAAAGAAAAAAAAGTTTCTCTTTTTAACTTTAGTAATGTATACAGATGAAAGGGGTTACTAGCCCCTTGCTCCCGGCATTTTAGTCGCCTCTTACGACATAACTTACGGAGGAAGAATTCTGTTCCACTTCCCTATGGAGAATACACACACACACACCACACTATATATATATATATATATATATATATATTTTAATATATATATATATATATATATATAATATATATATATAATATATAATAGAAACTTGACTTCATCTAAGGAAAATGGTATTTCCAATTTTTGGATGATGATCCCTTCTTCAGCATCCAGGTAACCCTTCCCCATCCTCTTACTTGAAGGAAGAAATCACTAAAAGAACCACGACTAAACAAGTTCCCGATCAACTGGCTCGTTTTCCACCACAGCTTGAGAGTTTATGTACATTTTCTGTGGTTGTACCATGCTGAGAGCAGGGCAGTGTGAAGAATACGTCACAATTATGTCTCTTAAATAGCAAAAAAGGCACAATACCGTGACTGGAACGATACACAAATAACCCGCACACAAAACGAAAGGTGTGACTTTGTCAATGGTCCAAGTCGGACCGAAACGTCGTCGTAAGCTTCTCTCTTTTATGTGCGGGTTATTTGTGTATGCCTCTTAAACGTATCAACACTAAAATACACACAGTATCCCCATTTTAGGTACCAAAGTTTTCCTAAATGGTGGTAGACAAATTATTTGTAGCCTTAATGATCCTAGTGTAGCAAATGAACCCTATTCACCTAGCAGTAAGTAGGTACCTGGGTGTTAGCCGACTGGTGTGGGTGGCATCCTGGGAACAAGACTCAAGAAATCGTAATGACACGATTGCAAACAAACCATACCCCCGGCCGGGATTGAACCCGCGGTCATAGAGTCTCAAAACTCCAGCCCGTCGCGTTAGCCACTAGACCAGCTAGCCACAATAAGATTCATCCAACTAGGTATATTTCTAATATTTCTACACCATAGGAAGGTTAGCACAGTGGTGCCTGTGCTAACCTTCCTATGGTGTAGAAATATACCTAGTTGGATGAATCTTATTGTGGCTAGCTGGTCTAGTGGCTAACGCGACGGGCTGGAGTTTTGAGACTCTATGACCGCGGGTTCAATCCCGGCCGGGGGTATGGTTTATCCTGGGAACAAAATTAACCTAGGTTGCCCGAAATGCTCTGCATAATAAGGGGTTTTTCTATACAGTATGTCACTGATATCAGCTATGGTCTGTATAAGTTGTATCACGTACTTGCAGAAATAAAAATGATTATTGTCAGAGAAACCATAAATAATTAGACGAGCGAGAACAGAGGGAGAACACCAAAAGGCAGGTCGGCTATACATTTGGGTACCCAAAAGGGGCAGTTCGGGTATACATCTGGGTATCCAAAAGGTCAAGTTTGGTATACATTTGGGTATGTATCCTTCACAAAGTATTCTCTTTCTTCCCCAGCGCCCCTGGGAACTCGCCTTAAGGAGAGTGGCAGGGGAGAGGGCAGCGAGGGTAGTGCCCCTGGGGAAGAAGACCCCCTGGCCGAGATCTCCAGCCTGGAGGAGACGCAGCAGCAGCAGCATCAGGAAACACAGCAGCTGCAGGAACCAGAGGAACCAGAACTGCCCAGTGAGCCACAACTGCCTCCTGATGTCCTTCATAAACACGACGAAACCATAGTATTTAAGGTTATTATTATTATTATTATTATTATTATTATTATTATTATTATTATTATATTATTATTAAACTAAGGAATAAGGAAGCTTCAGTTCCGTGGCTCCTAGAGAAAAGTCTTGAAGCTTTGGCCCGGTGGATAAAGGTCTCTCTTCACACACGGAGGGCCCGGGTTCGATTCCCGGCGGGTGGATACATTTCGACATGTTTCCTTACACCTGTTGTCCTGGTCATTTAGCAGGAAATAGGTACTTGGGTGTTAGTGGACTGGTGTGGGTGGCATCCTGAGGGGACAAGCTTGAGGATCACAATGGAAATCAGACAGACAGTCCTCGATGACGCACTGACTTTCTTGGCTTATCCTGGGTGGCTAACCCTTCTGGGTCAAAATCCGAACGAAATCTTATGAGCCCGGCAAAATGGCTTTCAAACAACATTTCGTCCCAGGATAAATTTTACTGGGTCGTTATTTCACTGTTGACATCTACATTGGAGCTAAATTTTGCCAAGGATAAAGCTTGCGATGTTTCCCTCACGGCAAAGCTTCTACAGCTTTAACCCAAACTGTTTCACTTCAGATAGAGCTTCTAAAGCTTGAAGGAAACTTCAGAGAAAAAGCTCATTCATATTTGAATCTAGATACTGCGGTGTTTCGCCACTCTCGTTACTTCTAATCTGTTATCTTAAATTCAGAGTTGAATTATATACCCAGGGAGCTCTAAAACCTTATGGATCAGCATCACAGAATATAATTTTGGGTTAACAATCTGCATGTTAGAATAATTAAATACAGGGACAACGCTTCTCAGTGTAGAGCTTTTATAAAGTCATGGTAAAGCTCTACACTGAGTGACACAGACGTCTTGTTGTCATCACCAAGAAATGAGAGAATCTCCTGGGATCAAGAGCTCTTCACCGGGAAAGATGGAGGAAGGAAGGAGGGGATTCCTCATGAAGAAAAGGAAGAGAGAACATTTATCTTGAAGGGAAGGAAGGAGGGCATTTATCTTGAAGGGAAGGAATGAGGGGATTTATCTTGAAGGGAAGGAAGGAGGGCATTTATCTTGAAGGGAAGGAAGGAGGGCATTTATCTTGAAGGGAAGGAAGGAGGGCATTTATCTTGAAGGGAAGGAAGGAGGGCATTTATCTTGAAGGGAAGGAATGAGGGGATTTATCTTGAAGGGAAGGAAGGAGGGCATTTATCTTGAAGGAAGGAAGGAGGGCATTTATCTTGAAGGGAAGGAAGGAGAACATTTATCTTGAAGGGAAGGAAGGAGGGCCATTTATCTTGAAGGGAAGGAAGGAGGGCATTTATCTTGAAGGGAAGGAAGGAGGGCATTTATCTTGAAGGGAAGGAAGGAGGGCATTTATCTTGAAGGGAAGGAAGGAGGGCATTTATCTTGAAGGGAAGGAAGGAGGGCATTTATCTTGAAGGGAAGGAAGGAGGGCATTTATCTTGAAGGGAAGGAAGGAGGGCATTTATCTTGAAGGGAAGGAAGGAGGGCATTTATCTTGAAGGGAAGGAAGGAGAACATTTATCTTGAAGGGAAGGAAGGAGGGCATTTATCTTGAAGGGAAGGAAGGAGGGCATTTATCTTGAAGGGAAGGAAGGAGGGCATTTATCTTGAAGGGAAGGAAGGAGGGCATTTATCTTGAAGGGAAGGAAGGAGAACATTTATCTTGAAGGGAAGGAAGGAGGGCATTTATCTTGAAGGGAAGGAAGGAGGGCATTTATCTTGAAGGGAAGGAAGGAGGGCATTTATCTTGAAGGGAAGGAAGGAGGGCATTTATCTTGAAGGGAAGGATGGAGGGCATTTATCTTGAAGGGAAGGAAGGAGGGCATTTATCTTGAAGGGAAGGATGGAGGGCATTTATCTTGAAGGGAAGGGTGGAGGGCATTTATCTTGAAGGGAAGGGTGGAGGGCATTTATCTTGAAGGGAAGGAAGGAGGGCATTTATCTTGAAGGGATGGAAGGAGGGCATTTATCTTGAAGGGAAGGAAGGAGGGCATTTATCTTGAAGGGAAGGAAGGAGAGCATTTATCTTGAAGGGAAGGAAGGAGGGCATTTATCTTGAAGGGAAGGAAGGAGGGCATTTATCTTGAAGGGAAGGAAGGAGGCATTTATCTTGAAGGGAAGGATGGAGGGCATTTATCATGAAGGGAAGGGTGGAGGGCATTTATCTTGAAGGGAAGGAAGGAGGGCATTTATCTTGAAGGGAAGGAAGGAGGGCATTTATCTTGAAGGGAAGGCAGGAGGGCATTTATCTTGAAGGGAAGGAAGGAGGGCATTTATCTTGAAGGGAAGGAAGGAGGGCATTTATCTTGAAGGGAAGGAAGGAGGGCATTTATCTTGAAGGGGAAGGAGGGCATTATCTTGAAGGGAAAGGAGGGCATTTATCTTGAAGGGAAGGAGGAGGGCATTTATCTGAAGGGAAAGGAGGGCATTTATCTTGAAGGGAAGGAAGGAGGGCATTTATCTTGAAGGGAAGGAAGAAGGGCATTTATCTTGAGAGGGAAGGAAGGAGGGCATTTATCTTGAAGGGAAGGAAGGAGGGCATTTATCTTGAAGGGAAGGAAGGAGAACATTTATCTTGAAGGGAAGGAAGGAGGGCATTTATCTTGAAGGGAAGGAAGGAGGGCATTTAACTTGAAGGGAAGGAAGGAGGGCATTTATCTTGAAGGGAAGGATGGAGGGCATTTATCTTGAAGGGAAGGAAGGAGGGCATTTATCTTGAAGGGAAGGATGGAGGGCATTTATCTTGAAGGGAAGGGTGGAGGGCATTTATCTTGAAGGGAAGGTGGAGGGCATTTATCTTGAAGGGAAGGAAGGAGGGCATTTATCTTGAAGGGATGGAAGGAGGGCATTTATCTTGAAGGGAAGGAAGGAGGGCATTTATCTTGAAGGGAAGGAAGGAGAGCATTTATCTTGAAGGGAAGGAAGGAGGGCATTTATCTTGAAGGGAAGGAAGGAGGGCATTTATCTTGAAGGGAAGGAAGGAGGGCATTTATCTTGAAGGGAAGGATGGAGGGCATTTATCATGAAGGGAAGGGTGGAGGGCATTTATCTTGAAGGGAAGGAAGGAGGGCATTTATCTTGAAGGGAAGGAAGGAGGGCATTTATCTTGAAGGGAAGGAAGGAGGGCATTTATCTTGAAGGGAAGGCAGGAGGGCATTTATCTTGAAGGGAAGGAAGGAGGGCATTTATCTTGAAGGGAAGGAAGGAGGGCATTTATCTTGAAGGGAAGGAAGGAGGGCATTTATCTTGAAGGGGAAGGAGGGCATTTATCTTGAAGGGAAAGGAGGGCATTTATCTTGAAGGGAAGGAAGGAGGGCATTTATCTTGAAGGGAAAGGAGGGCATTTATCTTGAAGGGAAGGAAGGAGGGCATTTATCTTGAAGGGAAGGAAGAAGGGCATTTATCTGAAGGGAAGGAAGGAGGGCATTTATCTTGAAGGGAAGGAAGGAGGGCATTTATCTTGAAGGGAAGGAAGGAGGGCATTTAACTTGAAGGGAAGGAATGAGGGCATTTATCTTGAAGGGAAGGAAGGAGGGCATTTATCTTGAAGGGAAGGACGGCATTTATCTTGAAGGGAAGGAAGGAGGGCATTTATCTTGAAGGGAAGGAAGGAGGGCATTTATCTTGAAGGGAAGGAAGGAGGGCATTTATCTTGAAGGGAAGGCAGGAGGGCATTTATCTTGAAGGAAGGAAGGAGGGCATTTATCTTGAAGGGAAGGAAAGAGGGCATTTATCTTGAAGGGAAGGAAGGAGGGCATTTATCTTGAAGGGAAGGAAGGAGGGCATTTATCTTGAAGGGGAAGGAGGGCATTTATCTTGAAGGGAAAGGTGAGGGCATTTATCTTGAAGGGAAGGAAGGAGGGCATTTATCTTGAAGGGAAAGGAGGGCATTTATCTTGAAGGGAAGGAAGGAGGGCATTTATCTTGAAGGGAAGGAAGAAGGGCATTTATCTTGAAGCGAAGGAAGGAGGGCATTTATCTTGAAGGGAAGGATGGAGGGCATTTATCTTGAAGGGAAGGAAGGAGGGCATTTACCTTGAAGGGAAGGAAGGAGGGCATTTATCTTGAAGGGAAGGAAGGAGGGCATTTATCTTGAAGGGAAGGAAGGAGGGCATTTATCTTGAAGGGAAGGAAGGAGGGCATTTATCTTGAAGGGAAGGAAGGAGGGCATTTATCTTGAAGGGAAGGATGGAGGGCATTTATCTTGAAGGGAAGGAAGGAGGGCATTTATCTTGAAGGGAAGGAAGGAGGGCATTTATCTTGAAGGGAAGGATGGAGGGCATTTATCTTGAAGGGAAGGAAGGAGGGCATTTATCTTGAAGGGAAGGAAGGAGGGCATTTATCTTGAAGGGAAGGAAGGAGGGCATTTATCTTGAAGGGAAGGATGGAGGGCATTTATCTTGAAGGGAAAGGAGGGCATTTATCTTGAAGGGAAGGAAGGAGGGCATTTATCTTGAAGGGAAGGATGGAGGGCATTTTATCTTGAAGGGAAGGAAGGAGGGCATTTATCTTGAAGGGAAGGAAGGAGGGCATTTATCTTGAAGGGAAAGGAGGGCATTTATCTTGAAGGGAAGGAAGGAGGGCATTTATCTTGAAGGGAAGGAAGGAGGGCATTTATCTTGAAGGGAAAGGAGGGCATTTATCTTGAGGAAGAAGGAGGGCATTTATCTTGAAGGGAAGGATGGAGGGCATTTATCTTGAAGGGAAGGAAGGAGGGCATTTATCTTGAAGGGAAGGAAGGAGGGCATTTACTTGAAGGAAGGAAGGAGGGCATTTATCTTGAAGGGAAGGATGGAGGGCATTTATCTTGAAGGGAAGGAAGGAGGGCATTTATCTTGAAGGGAAGGAAGGAGGGCATTTATCTTGAAGGGAAGGAAGGAGGGCATTTATCTTGAAGGGAAGGAAGGAGGGCATTTATCTTGAAGGGAAGGAAGGAGGGCATTTATCTTGAAGGGAAGGAAGGAGGGCATTTATCTTGAAGGGAAGGAAGGAGG